GAGTCGACAGAAATATCTTGCTACATGCAAATTTGGGATCAAAATGAGACGTAGTCATTCATTTTAGGGAGGTTGCTCCGGTAATTCGAAATTAGCATGAAAGTTTGGATGCGAATCCGGCAATCTGGCATAGCGGACTCCGATGCTTCATAACCCGCCTGCACCTCCCGTCTTCCGTTCCTGCCTTGGCCTAGTGGTGTAAGCGCTTGCTGCAGGCTAGCCATGCGGGTTCGATTTTGCCCGACCTTTAGCACCTACCCTAAAATTGCATTGAAAGTGTGAAAGCAAATCAGTGAAAACTGGTGTAATCATAATTCTGTCGACCCTAGGATACTTGAAAATGTCGGCGAGTTGGCTGTCGGCGAGTTGGCTGTCGGCGAGTCGAATGTCGGCGAGTTGGCCGGAAATCACATTTTAAAGGGACACCAGGGTTGGAAAACCGCTTCGCGGCTTTTCAACCCTGGCCCCGTCTTCTCCAATGATATTTTTGGCTTTGCATAATTTTCCCGGATTCGGATAACGAAAAATGAAAAATGCTCTTGCCGTCCCTTTATATAGGCTACCGCGACTACCGCTACGCATGCTAATTTGATCCTAACAAATTGGGTGTCCGATTTTCCATGAAAAACTTAATTTTAATGTCGAAAACATCATATTTTGTAAAATCTGATATGTGTGCAGTCATCTCCAGGCCATTACGCACCAAATGACGTATCGAACATACCCCTAAGTACTCCCCCTTCTTGAGATACTACTGGAACACGGTGACGGAAGTTGCATGCAAATGCACACACACACACACAGACACTATTTTTTTATATATAGTAGGATGCCGCGCCTACATTTCGACGGTTGAAACGCCCAGTCACCCAGCCAGCTCCGCTCCACCGAGCAAACGTGGCATGGTTACCCCGTCACGAGCAGGCTGCAAACTAGACAAAAATAGTATACTTGCCAGAGCAAAACGAACATTTTGGCATATTTACATGCCGACAGGGAGCCGAGGTACCGAAGTTCGAGAACAAAACCTCATCTAAGATTAACATAAAAAATAAAAGAAAGTGGATTAATTTTGACGTTATAGAAACTAAAAACTAAAACCTTATTATGCCTGTATTGCATTTTTAGAAATTGAGAAATAAAGGTATTAAGCTAGAAAACAGTGGTACCCTTACCAGCTCTGTAACTCCCCGGAGTTCCTAGATACGAAATCGCTTTGGACCAGGAAAAATTTAGTAAAGGAAACGCCATAAGCGTTATGAATTTTTTCTAACATTTTTCGATGTCGGGAAACAAATTTTTTGATAGCCGCTCGACCATGGCGTGAATTTCTACACTCTAATCCAGTATTTTAAGCAAAAAGGTAAAGGCTAACCGTTGTTAATCCGGCGACGATTAACGATTACTCAACGATGCCTAGCCCCTCAACAAGTACATCTTCCTTGCGAGGATGATCACTTTTTCTACACAGAAGAGCGTTGGGGGATCATGGCTCGAATCTGATCTAAAAAATGGAACTCAGCCTGGCGCATCCGAAAAAGTAATCCGTTTGGAATTGGACCGCCCGGCCCCTATTATAAAAGGCTTCCGGAGCTAGAGCGGAGCCCGTAAACTTTGGTCGCAAAATCGGAAGCTTCAAAGCTCTGTATGGCCTTGAAGAGCTGCGTACTGTAATAACCAGGATTTTGCCGATCCGGAAATTTGGACCTGGCTTTTTTGTTAACTTCTCGTTTAATTTTCTAAAGGTAGTCTGAGGGCAAATTTTTGCGCTTTCAGCATGTCTCACTTCGGGTTCCAGGGCGTCGTCGGGCTCGGGCTCCTTTGCCTTCTTGTTGCCGGGAAGTCGGTAGGATTTCTCGAAAAATACTATGGATCTGCTTCTAGAAAGTTCAATTCCAACCTGCCGACCAGGACGCCATCAGCCAGTTTGCGGTGGTAAGCAAATTCTTATGAATTTGTATACAAAAATAAATTATTTCTGAGCCCAATCCCACACGGCTCAATTTTTAGGATGCCTTTGTCACCGACGAGGTCACCACCACCACCAAGAAGGGAAAGAAACCTTCCGTAATCGCCGAGGCGCCGCCCACGACGACATCGCGTCCAAGATATGTAGGTTACGAGAGCCAGAGAAAGAAAGATAGAGAGAGAGCGAGAAAGTGAGAGAGAGGGGGAGAGAGACAGAGAGACGGAGAGTAAGAAAGATATGTAGTTAGAAGATACGAGCAGAGGCGCGTATAGCACTAAACACATTCTAGTACCCCAACTTCAACATCCCGCTCGACTTCGGCAAGGCGGACACCGGCAAGCCCTACGTGCTCTCCTACGCAGTGATTCGCGACAATCTGGCTCGCGGTGGCATTGACTTGAACCATTTTGTGGTCGGGTTATTGGATTCTGATTATTGGATTCATGGGTCGGGGGACGTTTTAGGCCTAGGTTTAAGCTTGGGCTCAGGTTTATTCTTAGGTTCAGGCTTATTAGGCTTTAGGCTTAGGCTTAGGCCTAGGCTTAGTCTTAGGCTTAGGCTTGGCTGAGGTTCGGCCTAAGCGTCGGACAGTCTAAACCCCGGCTTAGTTTCGCTTGTTAGACGTGGCTCAGCTTGGCTTGGCTTGGTGGCCTCAGTCGATGTACGACTTTCTAGGACATCTTCGTTGACAATGTGGATAACACCTCAGCGATCGACTTGCTGCGCATCATGGCCAAGGAAATCAGCCAGACAATCCCGGTCGGTGCTTGATTTCTCGCATTCTACGAAGTGTATTACCGACGGCTTTGGTGATTTGATCTTCCCAACACGGCAATGGAAGATAATGAACTACAAGCAAAGCAAAAACTACAATTAAAGCCCAAATTTGCAGATGCCGATGGCGACATCCTTTTCCGACTACGTTGAGCAACTCCCGGCCGCGCTTTCCACGTTTACCAGCCAGATTCAGAGCGTAAGTCGGTCTTTAAAGGGGTCAGGAAGTCCCAGTAGATCGGGGCCGATCTATACTTGGCAACGAGCCAGCCGGCAATGCTAATGCAAAAAACTGAGCAGAAATGGGGCCGAGGCGGGAGGGAGTAAAGAAGATTTGGGCTAATTGTAGAACTAACGCCCGTTTTATGCTAATTTGGCTGAGCTTTCTTCAACCCTTTAAAGGGCCATGAAGTGAAATACCCGACTCACACGTCTATCAGGGTTTAGCACGCTTAAGATCCATTTTAGAAAGTCGATGCCCTCCCTGCCCTCACCAAGCGCTTCACGCCCATCGTCCAGGACCTCAACCAAACGTTCCCGGAAATGGCGCAACAGGCAACCTTTTTGAACACCAAATTTCCGAAAGTATTCTGAGCATTTTTGAACTTTCTTTGCGATATTTAGTGAGCCGATTTCAGTTGGGTATTGTCGCGTACTCGGACCCGGACAACAGCCAAAACGTCGGCCTGGTAACGTTGAGTAAGTCAATCAGAAAAGAATTAATTCTTGAAACAACCACCAGCGTTAGTTACGCATTTTTTGCTAATCTAAAAAAGGTTCCATCGTTGTTTTAACTTCTAGGGAGAAGAATTTGTGCGTCTTAGGTGTCAGATACATCAAATAAAATTGCCATATACAACTTTAGAAACGTTTCTTAGACATTTTTGAAAATTACATCGCCGAAACTAACTTTTTCGAAAACCCTCTCAAAAGTAATTTTTTCGAAAGTTCGATTTCCAAACGCTATATCTTGAAAAGTCATATTTTCGCAAATAATTTTTCCGAAAACCAGAAATGCGAAAAATTGAAGCATTGAATGAAAGGTATGCCCAAATATGGCATGACATAGTTGCAATTTTTTCGAAATATTGATTTTCGAAACGTGATTTTTGGGAAAGTGATCTTCAATAAATATGACGTGTCGAAAAATTGATTTTGGAAAATAAGCTTCTCGAAATTTTACAAAAAATGGATTTCGATAATGTGATATTGGTTGCTCCTCACAAAGACGTTTTCAGGCACCCTCGTCCAGACCCTGGCCCGAAGCATCGATTGGATGTATGCTGGAATCTACTTTGTAAATACGAAAACCCTAGGAAAAACCAAATCTTTTTTAGGACGTTGGCAAGCGCTTCTTACTACAGCCGATGGATGACTATGAAACCGATAGATCGTCGGAGTCGGATAGTTCAGATTATAACTACTACTACTCGAGCTACGACGACGTGCCGGAGACGATGAAGGGAAAGAACGGGAAGAAGGGAAAGAAGAACAAGAATAAGAAGAACAAGAAGACCAAAGACTACCAATATCCCAGCATTGCCTACTCCGACTATTACAACGCGAATTAAATTGGTGGTGCTTTTTGGGGTAGTAGTTTGTGATAAAGCAATGGTTTTCAGTGTCTGGTATGGGTTAACTTCAAAAACCTTAAAAAATTCGCATAGAATTTGATGCAAAAATTGAGACTTGAAAGCGCATATTTGCTGCTTCAGAATTTTTAAAGGGGAAGCGACATCAAGGTGCGGCTTCGCACGCAACGCGTACGTGACGAAGTACCCACGAAATTTCTTGGTATAACTTTGGAAACCCCTAAAAACCTAATATCAATTATTTTGTTAGATTTTTGTGGCATATTTAAACTAGGAAATTATCTTAAAACTTAAAAATACGGTCATCTTGGCTCAAAATTGATATATTTTGTTATATTTATATAGTTTTTAATAAGATTCTGTAGGATTTTTGCTTTTAACGATATAAAAAAACAATTCGAGGCAGTTCGGCGTTTTATTCCAGAACAATTGGATCCTAAGAAAGAAATGTGGTTTCTCCTGATAGACTTCCCCCAGCACGATAGTGCGAAAAAATATTCCCAGGCTTTATATATGATTTTATTTGAGTAAAATTATCGAAAAATGCTTCTAAAAATCGGTAATATCTCATTTATTATGTACACAGCCAGCGCTCAGTCGATACCCGTAGACAAAGAGCCAGTAAATAAAAATTAAAATAGCAGAAACAAAAATCCACATAACTACGAATTTTCACTACTCGAACAATGTTTGGGGGTGACCACAAAATCATAGTAATTTTTACGGAATTCAAGGTATCCGTATTGCTCTGTGGATTCCGAGACAAGGTCGTAGAGCTCGCTGCGAATCTGCTGAAAGTTTGGACGTCGAGCAGCGTCGAATTCTGAGCACGAGGCGAGGAGTTTGGTGCTGAAATCGGAGTTAAGAAAGTTACAAACGTCTGAATTAAAAACTTAAAAGTTTGAAGAACTGGAAACAGGTAAAAGAAACCTAAGTCCTTCCAGAATCACATTAGCATGTCCAGTTATAAAGCATTACTAAAAAGTAAAAAATAACACTTACATCCTTTCCGGACTTTCTTCTGGCAGTTCCAATCTGCTGCCTTCTTTCAAATGTTCCAGCATACGTTCCGGATCGATGGCCATGTAGGGCGAGGTGCCGTAGGTGAACAACTCGAAAAGAAAAACGCCAAAAGACCACCTAAAAAAAAATCAAGTTTTTGAGTGCAAACAGGTAGCCTTATTGAGGTCAAGATTCCGTCTACGTTTCCTTTGAAAAAACCGAGAGGCATGAAAATTGTGTTTCCGGTGCTTTGAATACTTTTTTTACATTCTTAGTATCCCGTTAAACTACCCCGAGTGTAATCCAAAAAAAAATAATACTCACACGTCAGTTTTCTCGCTAAATACCGCCGTTTCCAGCGACTCTGGCGCCATCCATTTTATTGGCAGCTTCCCGCCCCGGGTTGTGTAAAACATCTCACTAGATAGCCGACACAGTCCGAAATCGCTCAACTAAAGTAAATTCGACAAAAAGAATTGATTGGCTTACTTTTGCCATCTTCTCCTTCGTCAACAACACATTTCTGGCAGCTACATCCCTGTGGATCATGTTTCGGGATGAGAGGTAGGCCTATAAATATATCAAAAATTCCAAAAACCCTTTATTAATTTTTCGATTTACAGAATATTGAATTACAGCGGCTATGAAGAGCCGGAATCAGCATTATTCTGATTAGGTCTAAAAGCGGGCGCTGAAACTCGTTTGAGTAGATGATTTTAGAGCCCCAAAGTTGAACCAAATCTCAAGGAGTCATTAGGCGTGTAATGTAGCTGTTAAGTGTTAGATCTCATCGGATTCTAGAGCTTTACAATTAAGTTATTAACTTAAGCTTACCAAAGCATCGCTGATTTGCCACGCGAGAGGTACGAGGTCGTCGTTGGTGAGTTTTTCCTATAAAGCTCGGAAACGGCATCTAGCTTGTACTCTCTCTCTCTCTTTCTCTCCCTCTCTTATCTCTCTCTTACCTGGTACTCCGGATCTCTCGAATTCCTCAAAACCGATAACAAATCCCCTCGATCGCACAATTCCATGACGATTAGCGGCTGTTTGAAGTCTTTTGAACATCCTAGCATTCCCAAGACATGTGGGTGAACATCCAAAGTTTTCATGAATTCAATTTCTTGAAGCAGGTCCATCCTGAAAATTAACAAACTTAAAAAAGCTCAGTTTACAGACGTCAAAAGCTCCAAAAACCACTCCAAACCTACTTGTCCTTATCACTAGCATGCGTGTGAGCCATTTTTATCGCCACATGGTGCTCATCGTCGGTGTAGAGAGCGGAAATCTACAAAGTTGCATTTGGAGCCCCCTTAAAATCTGATACCTTGAGTCTCGGAAAGATTTTGACGACCGGTGGCGCTCCTTTCAGGTGGCCTTTAAAAACGATAGCATAGGCGCCGGAGCCTAGCTTTTGGGAAGAGACGAATAAGGTGTCGTCATCTACTTCCCAGGGGTCGGTGGGGCGGGTAGCACTAAAAAAATACGGTAGAAGAGACGAGATAAAGTGGGAGAGAGAGAGAGAGGGCGAGAGAGAGATAGAGAGAGTGAAAGAGAGAGAGCGAGAGAGAGAAATGAATCTCCTGACCTTGGATCCAAGGTATAAGGTCGATAATCATTCTTCTGGGCACCAACTCGGATGGGCTTCAAACTTGCGGCATACTCTCGATCTTTGATGCAGACCGAGCTTTGAAAACTAAAAAGGGTTAAAAAGTGCTAAATTTTCCTATTTTAGCTTTCAAAAAACAGGAAAATGGTTCAAAATTTAAATAAATTTTATGAAAGCCATTACTTACTCTTTCATCGCCGCATCTTCCAAGCACTGCTGAACGTTTTCGGGAAGGTTTTTCTTGACGGTGAGTAGGTCTTTGTACCTTAAACCTCATAGTATTGTCATCAATCCATAAATACAAGTTTCAAGAGTCTAGAAAAATTTGGCCTCTACTTACATCTTTTTATAGATCTGCTTCGGGAAGTACCGCATCTTGATCTGCCGGCACACGAAGACGAACACTCCCAAGATAGCCATACCCGCACCGGCTCCGGCTAAAAAAATGAAAAAAGCATTATTAAATCGGCATGGCATTGGCGCATTATAAGTATAAGAAAAAGCATACCAAAGTAATACCACGTTGGATTCTTCGAGCTACCAGCACTGGCCTTTGTCGTTGTCGTCGTTTTCCCGGTGGTAGTATCAAAAGTGGGACCAACTAAAAACGTTAAGGTATTTAACTTCAAGGCGAAATGACTCCAATAATGTTACGAATGCATTAATAATAGTTAACCTAGTTAAAGCGCTTCAAAAAATACACAAAAACCCAGGATTGTCAAGAATGAAAATAAATTACTCGTTAAAAACAACTCACCGGTCATCGGTGCATCTGAATGAGGTTCGGTGGCATAGAGTTCGACAAGATTTTCTGAAAAATATGCGTCGATTTTTCAGCTTAACAACAAATTACCTTCGTCTAAGCCAGTTAGAATCGGGTATGCTGAAGAAAGTTTAGCTACAGTAAGAAATAGAAAAATCAATACGATCTTCGACGGAAGCTGCATTTTTTTGGAGTGTGTTGAAAGTGACGGACACAGGACCACAGGAAGAGGTGACAATTTGCCGGCCAAGAGCCCAATAAACACAAAATCTGAACTCGCTGGGGCGCCGGCGACACCTCCTTATCGCCGCATATCTAGCGCCAGGATTAATAAGCCTGCCAACCTGAGGTAGCCCGTTTTGCGGGGGCTTCGTCATATTGGTTCGGTAGGGAAGTATGGGTGATGCCTAAAAACGAAAAAATCTGCAAAATCGGGAGCTGTGAGAATTAAAGGACAGGATCTTAAAAGAATACGTTAGGAAGGCAAGGTAACTGGAAATTAATGAACCCTTTACGCTTAATTTCATTCGTTAAGGCGCTCTCTCTCCCTCTCTCTCTCTCTCTCTCTTTCTCTTCCTCCCCCCACTCTCTCTTTCTCTCCCTGTCTCTCTTTCTCTCGCACTCTCTCTCTTTCTCTACCTCTCTCGTTCCTTTCCTTCAAAACTAACAAAACCTAAATCGATCCTAAATCAAGGTTCGACTCTATCGAGGTTTGCTTGTCTCTCTCTCTCGCTCTCTTACTCTCTCTTTATCTCTTTCTTCCCCTGTTTCTTTCTCTCTCTCTTCCCTGTTTCTTTAGCTCTCACTTACTTTCCTTTTAGCAAAAGTGACGGTGAGACTTTTTTGCGTCCAGTAGAGAGCGTTTTAAAATCTGCCGAAGTCGTTCCCGAAACCCCCCTCCCCTTCGTCCAACCGCCTCTATTTTTGGCTTTTATATGACAATACGAATTCGGAACGCTTTCTCCTAATACCTTTTCAGGGTGAGGTGAATCCTTCGTTTTTCAATCCTTGCCGAGACGGCTGATCCCCGGATTCTCGCTATGGTAACCGAGGGCAGCGAGACAATCCCCGGGAGGAATCCCGGCAAGGGGTAGAATATCTTTTCTCATTTTACTTCTTCCCCGGGATGCGGAAGCCGTACACCTGAATTCCCCTTTGTCTTTTGTCTGGTTCCGTTTCTTTCCTTGGTGACGAACTCGAGCGCATCCAATTTACGCCCCGCGGCTACAAATCCCATCCTGCCCCCACCTTCAAGGCTAGCCTAGTCATTTGTATCGTCGCGTAGCGTAGCGTCCCTCTCGGAATTATTGGATGTACGGCTCGGCAAAGAGCCGCGTACAGCTGCAGAAACAGGTTGGGATTTTGGAACCGAAGCGCATGAACTAGCATTACTAAAAAAATGAACACATTGGTACACCCTCAAAAAAATTCCGTTTTTGCCACCTAGCCCACACATTTTGCCTTCGCTGCTCCTTTAATCCAACCGATGCAATTTTGGTGGTTTTTATAGCCTGCCTCAGACAACTCGCGGCGATTACTGAGGATTTCTTGATCGAGTTTTGCGCTTTTCGGAAAACTAGCAGAATCTCTATAAGAATTTTTAATTCGTGGGCCTGGCGTGCTAGCAGAAGTCTTTAGGAAGTTAGGTGGAAATGTGCGCAGGGATTCCTTTGATTGTTCATCTGAAAAAGAAACTTTTTACTCCCGGATCTGGATTACGTTTTGTAACGAAGAGCGTCTAAGCTTTGAAATCGAGCTCTTTCAAAAACTTAGAAAACTGCTAGGCAATCAGCGAAAAATTCGACTGGTACTTTAAAGTCAGATAAATTTCCCATCTTTGCCTGACTTTGGCGTGCTAGCAGAGATCCTTTGAGATTGGTCAGGATCGGGTCTAGTTGCATTTTTTTGCGGGTATTCAAATTTGTTTGTTGATCCGTTTTCGTACTCATTACCCCTCGAGATCCCCATCAGCACTTGCAGGACAGCTCCCATAAACTGCCGAGGATGCCGCTCACTGACGACCAGCGTCAGGCCATCAAGGTCTCCTACGCCAAGCTGGCCGAGAACCCGACCAAATATGGGAATGAGCTGTTCATTCGGTACGTTTTTAAAAGATTCTTTATTTTTTTACGCGTTCCAATACCTGCTTATGCCGGTCGCGTTTTGTTGATTCCACCGGCAAAATCCGAATCCGAATATGAACACAAGTTCTACAAGTATAAGCTATTTCTCGTAGCTAGCTAAGCTTCGCCCTTGAGCTTATGATTTGGTCCTAAAAATCCCACAAGAGAGCGGTGACTAATCAGCTTAAGATAACGGTGCTAGCTTCTGGAATCGCACAGTTTGCACAGTTCTGAAATTTCCGGAGAATGACGAAACGGTGCGCCCAAAAAAGCGACAGAGAGAGAGAGAGAGAGAGAGAGAGAGAGAGTGACAGAGAGAGAAAGATATAGAGAGAGAGCTTTTCAGGCTCTTCGCCGACTTCCCGGACTACAAGGACATTTGGCCTCGATTCCGTGCAATTCCGGATAGCTCGATCGTCGGATCCGATCAGCTACGCACCCATGCTACCGTATACATGAAAGGACTAGGGGTTAGTTTTCCTAGCGTCGCTGCTAGAAAGCCCACTTTCAGACGATTGTCAGCAAAATCGAGAACGAAGAAGAGCTGCAGGACATCATCAAGAAGATCGCTCAAGCGCACATCAAGTTCAACATCTCGCGCTCGCACGTCGAGGTAGCTCTCGCTCTCTCTCTTTTTCGCTCGCTCTCTCTCTCTCTCCTCTATCTTTGTTGCACGTTCATTGTCCAAATTTAGCATATGGCACCGTGTCTCCTCGCGGTGTTGAAGAATGCGAACGGCTCCATCGACCCTGGGGTACTGTAGTTTCCTCATTGTTTTGTTTCAAAGTTCTTTAGCTACTTATTAAGTCTCTGAATATACTAGGAGTTTTTAGACGAAAGAAGCCTGGGAGGCGTTCTTCGAGATTTTTGGTGACGTGCTCGTCCAGCTGACAAAGGGACGCTAGGTTTCCAGCCACCCCACGATGGCATAAAATATTTTTGTTTGATGTTTTCCGTAATTGATAAATTATTTTTGTTAAGCTTTATGACAATCGGCAGTATAGCAAATTCAACCAAGGCGAGGCAGCAGGATAAAACAGAGAATCTCGCAAGCAGAAAGCTGTTAAGGCGGGGTTTCATGATCACTGTAATTCTGGAGCATTTCTAAAAGCAGTATTTGGGCTTAAGCTACGCAACGCATGAGATTACATATATGACTTAGTCCTTATAATTAAGGTCCATATCCTTCAGGCCACATGGGGGATTTTTCACGTCTCCATCGTATTGGTGAATCTCCGCCGTGCTCCAGCCGCCAAAGGGGACGAACCTCAAGTGTAGGACGTTAGTTCTAGCTATCTCTCTCTTTCTCTCTCTTTCTCTCTCTCTCTCTCTCTCTCTCTCTCTTTCTCTCTCTCTTTCTCTCTCTCTCTCTCTTCCTCCCTCCCTTCCTCCCTTTCTCTCTCTCTCTCTCTCTCTCTCTCTCTCTCTCTCTCTCTCTCTTTCTCTCCACTTTTGCTCAAATGGACCCACTTCCCAAATCCAGCATCGTTGTTGTATCTGGACCACCAGAGCGGGTACTTCGACATCGCGGTCCCCGATCCGACAATGTCCGGCCAGATGCTTTGCTGGGTGTAGATACCGACTCTCACTTCCTTGCCCTGAAAGTCTCAGTGGTATAAATCGCGGGGGTTTTTTTTGAAAGATTGAGAGTAACCAACAAGGTATAATTGCAATTTTTTTAGAAAGCCGTTGAAGCTCTGAGCGCTCTTGTAAATCATCGATTTTCTACGCTCTCAGAAGAACCACTGACGACCACTATTTACGCACAAGTACTAGCCAGATTAAAAAAAATCATTCTACCACTGAATAGAAGAACAAACCTCCGCCGCGTCAGCCATGCCCCGGATGAAGTTTTGGTTCTGATTCTTGTTGGATGGCCATTCTCGGTTGTTGTCCACGTCCTCGATGTCGAGCCACAGGGTGCCAATCTGTACAAGACAATATCTTTCTAGCCCTGCTCTCTCCCACTCTCTCCCACTCTCTTTCTCTCTCTCACTTTCGCCCTCTCTCCCTCTCTCTCTCGCTCTCTCGCTCTCCCTCTCTGCCGCTCTCTCTCTCTCTGCCGCCTCTCTCTCTCTTTCTCTCTATTACCGTAGCTCCCTCCTCGTTCAGTTTGTCGATGACGGCTTCAACTTGGTTTGCCCCGGCTGGTTTGCCCGGGGTTAAACACGGGTAGATGTAGGCGTCGAAGTCGGTGAATCCGGCTGAAAATCGAATGCCAAAGGGTTTGGGACATCAGATCTTTTGGGAAATTGTCAGTTTTTAAACATAATATGTGTCATAACCTTCAAAAAAAGGTTTTTTTTTTGTACAAAATTATACCTGCCCGCGCATTCTTGATATTCTGGATGCCGACGAGGTCGTAGTCGTTGATCTGGAAATGACTGGGTTTCGCTTTAAAAAGGGCCAATTAAAAATGACGTCTCAAAATCTTAAGATTTCGTTAGGAACTCAATAACTCACATATAACTCACACCCTCGCGATAAAAAAGTCGTGACCCTTATTCTTCAAGCATTGGAAAGTGGCAACAGAAATCGGGTTGATTGAATCGAAGCCGGTACGCGCCGCAACGATTCCGTACAAAGCAAATACGACAAGATACCTGGAAAAGATCCTAAATGTTGAGAAGCATCGCGTTATTTTCTATTAAAACCCCTCTAATATCATAAACCTGATAAATTCCGCCGATCCGGGTTCATTCAGATTCATGTAAACCCTTTCCCGTAGAATTTCCAAAACTGTACGTAGAGGTAAGAATGTGGATAGGAGTTCTAGTACTGGTTTGTTAGCGGGGGAGGGGGTGTTCTTTGTCGCAGGTTTCCTCATTTCGCTCCGCCCCCCCCCGCTAATGAACCAGAACCAAATTCTGTCTAAGCGCTTCCAGGCATTGCTGGGAGTTTTAGGCAAGAGCAAGTGGTAAAAAGACCTAAGGAAAAGACGATATTGCTCCTACCTCGTCGTTGCTGTAGTTCACGTATCCAAACTTGCAAAAACAGTGTGCACTTGCAGCCGCTAATTTTTTCTCCCTTTTATATCGCTGCCCCGAACCCCCGACCCCGACCAAAAAACACCAACTGACGGGCCAGCGTTCCACTGTTTTGGTCTCGGTTTTGCAGTCCAAAAGTCCGGGGTGTTCCAAAAATAACGAATAGCTCGAAGATCTGAAAAACCAATAAAAACGCTGTTTTTGAGCCACGGGATCTCTGGAAAAACCAAAGACAACAATAAAGGGCCAGCCAGGGTGAACTTTAAGAGCCGTACTTAGTGTATCTTGGGTCTACATTAACATACAGGGTTGTAAGGTATACCAAAATACTCGCCAGGACACGAGCAACATTTTAATCTAGTTTACACTTTATATAAGTTATATTTATGATTGCGTGTCAGCTGAACAGGAAAACTCGGGAAAGATTAATGTTTTTATCGCGGGGTGGGTTTCCCCATTGAAAAGTATTTTCGGGTCGTTGAGCTGTTTTTATACCAAGAATTTGTAAACTTTTGTAGGTAACCACATATTTAGACACGTTTTAAGCTTTATAATCAAGATCCATATCACCAAGTCCGCAGGGGCGCTTGGTCAGATCTCCTTGGTATTGATGGATTTCCGGCTTCTTCCAGCCACCGTATTCGTGGAATCTGAGCAGTAATTAATTTCCTCTTTCGCTGAAAACCGAGACGTTTAAGCCGTAAAATTCTACATCCTTTTTTTTCACTTACTTCCCAAACCCGGGATCATTGTTGTAGTTGGGCCACCAGAGCGGGTACTTTGCCATCCCAGACCAGGAGCCCACAATGTCTGGCCAAGAGTATTGGCCAGTGTAGACACCGACTTTCACGCCTTTCTTCTAGAAAATAGAAAATAAGGCTCTTAACTACAAAAAAACAACTAACCTCAGCCGCCTCGGCCATGCCCTTGATGAAGTTCTGGTTGTGGGCGTGGTCGGCCGGCCACTTACCCTCGACGTCAAGCCAAAGCATGCCAATCTGAAGGGTAGATGATGCCCACTAATACTTTATAAAAATTAAACGACGACTATAACGTATACTACATACTTTGGCCCCTTCTGCATGTAACTTGTCGATGACGGCTTCAACCTGTTTTGACCCGGCCGGGCAATTTGAGCGCAGGCAAGGGTAGATGTATCCGTCTACGTCGGTGAAGCCGGCTGAAAGTCAAGTTTTAAAGCGCACGTTCAGGGAGAGGCCGTGTACTCGTCCCAACGTGTACACCCTATGGACGTTGGGACCGCGCGCGCTGTCTGCCCGTGCCGTGGGAGGCAATTCGCCTCCTTTCCGGGGTGGGGCGCCCCTCACCCTTCGCCAGGTTGTGGCTGTAGCTGACTGGTATCCATCCGCGTCTCCCGATCGGCAGGCCCGGGTTCGGCCCCCGGCCGCGGGAAAAATCTTCGCTTTTTTTCCAAACAAAAAAAAAAAAGTCCCTGAACGTGCCCTTTAACCCTACTAGAAAGCGCTGGACTTGACTATGTCTTGCCAGCCGCGCGGGAATTCAGTTTTTTAGATTTTTTAAACACTGGAAATGCGAGGTGAACGTAATTGTCGAGACCTAGTCCACAAAAGGGGTAAATTCACCGAATTCCCAGCGCTTCCAGCTTACCTTGTCGTGCGTGTTTGATATTCTGGATGCCGCTGAGATCGTAGTTGTTAATCTGAAGTTATAAATTTTCCTAATTCCAGACAATTAAGTTATCCAGAAGCATAAAAAGTTTAAGTTACCTCCTCCCAAACCCTGGCCACATAAAAGTCGTATCCATCCTTTTTCAAGCACTCAAACGTGCTAACAGAAATTGTGCCAATCGCATCGAAGCCCTTTTTCGCAGCCACCGATACGAATAATATCAATGTTACAAAGAATCTAAAAAATTGCATAAAGGAACCTCAGAAGTTTACCTCATGGTTGACTGGATCGGAAGACAAGTAGCTTATCAACAATCTTTTGACCTTTTATAGATCCGGATCGTAGACGCAGAACAGCTATTCTTGGATTGTGATTATGGCCAAAAATCGGAAAGGGGCGTGGCTACGGAGAGATAACCGTTTTCTAAAAGTCGTCTCAGGGTTGGGCAAGGGCGAAGGTCGCTGAGCGGTCGCAATTTCCGAAATTCCAGGGGTTATACTGTCTAGTTTAGACAGAGAGAGAGAGAGGGAGAGGGAGAGAGAGAGAGAGAGAGAAGAGAGATAGCGAGATAGCGAGAGAGAGGGAGAGAGAAGAGAGATAGCGAGAGAGGGAGAGAGAACGAGAGAGAACGAGAGAGAACGAGAGAGAAGGAGAGCGAGGAGCCCGAAAGCTATAATTTTGACTTTTGATATGTTACGTTTGTTTTTCTCGCGGATCTCTCGCGTTTTTTCTCTGGTGTTCACAGAGAACATTAGTATACACAATTTATACACGTCTTAGGCCTTGTAATCAAGATCCATATCACCAAGTCCACACGGGCGCTTCGTCAAATCTCCTTGGTATTGATGGATCGCCGGCTTGCTCCAGCCTCCGTAAGAGACGAATCTATAGAGAAGGTTCATTTAGCTTCATCTCTCTCTCACTCTCACTCCCTTTCGCTCTTTCTCTCACCTTCCGAATCCAGGGTCATTGTTGTAGTTGGGCCACCAGAGTGGGTATTTCGACATCCCGGTCCAGGATCCGACGATTTCCGGCCACGAGTATTGACCGGTGTAGACACCGACTTTCACGCCCTTTTTCTGAAAGTGATCGTTCGACAATAAATGATAAACTACAACACGTACCTCGGCCGCGTCTGCCATTCCCTTGATGAAGTTCTGATTGTGCGTCTTGTCGGACGGCCAGGTGCCCTCAACGTCAAGCCACAGCGTGCCGATCTGGAAGCCAAGATTTATCATTCTCATGCTCTCTCTCTCTCTCTCTCTCTCTCTCTCTCTCTTTCTCTCTATCGCTCTCTTCAACCGTTGATTATCCAAAGCTTACAGTAGCCCCATCCGCGTGCAGCTTGTCGATGACGGCCTCAACCTGGTTCGCGCCAGCCGGGCAATTGGAACGCAGACACGGGTAGATGTAGCCGTCGACGTCGGTGAATCCGGCTAAAATATACATTTAAGCTGATGCCAACTTGAGAAGAATGGATAAGTGCTGATTATAAAACCTAAAAGCAAGTAGCTTTAAATCCACTAACCTGCACGTGCATTCTTGATGTTCTGGATGCCGCTGGTGTCGTAGTTGTTGATCTGGAAAGTATGGTATGCTCGTTTTGTATTATGAGTTTTTTAGATGTTTCAATAAACCATTAACAACAAAAATACGAGCAAAAGACGACAAGATACAAACTACAAACTGCGAGGTGTCAAGTCCCGCTAAATGGCCGATTTCTGAGAACTTACCTCCTGCCAAACCCTGGCCACATAAAAATCATATCCATCCTTCTTCAAGCACTGGAAAGTGCTAACTGAAATAGCGCCGATCGCATCAAAGCCAGTACGAGCGGCTACAATTCCGAATAGCGCTATTGCCACGAAATACCTGTAAAATTACAGTTTATGATAAAATAGATATTATTCCCACCTCATAGTTCGTGTTTCCGTTGCTGGGTTTGCAACTAGAAAGGCTTATCACCAATTTTCTAGCCTTTTATCTCCTGGCTAGGACCCGGATCCACCCTGACGCACTCACTACACATTTTTCGGGCGCTTCCGTTTTTGGTTAAAGATCAGGAAACAGCAGATTATTGCATTAAAAAAACCATTGCAAAAAATAAAACCTCGGAAAAATTCTGAAAATGAGTCTGGGAAACAAAACCCTTAAACTAAAAATGATTTCTTGACTTGTCTGGTCTCACGCACTCTCTCTCTCTCCACACACTCTCTCTCACTCTCTCTGTCTCTCCTTCTCTCTCGTCTCGCTTCCGCTGTGATGTTTTAAAGCTCCATTCATGAGCTCTGCTTCCGTCATACCCGCAATTCACAACATAAATCGTACGTTATGACCAAAGTGACCCGGCGTACATGTTCGAACAACATCAACTGGCATCTATAAAACAACGGCTACTGGCAATGGGGCTACTTTTTGAAGATGGGGCCTCCTCCCGATTTGCTACTGCTATGCGCTGCGGGACTTTTTGTAATGATTCAGGTAATTTCGGTTTTAATTTCAATGTTTGGAATTACATACGAATACCAGGGCCATCATATTTGCCAAAAATAATAGTTTGAATGCCAAACTTTCGAAAAAATTGCTGTTTCGAAAATCAGCATTTCTAAAATTTGCATTGCTATTTAATACCATTTTCAGCCATTTCCTGAATTTTGCGAAATTCTGATTTTCGAAAAATGGTTTTCGACAATAATCTCCTTGTGAAATGCTTACGTGACCGTTTTCAGGCCCACTCTTCTGGCGGTCATGGTGGCCTACCTCCGAGTACCGGAAACTCGCGCGGTGAGCCGAATCCGGGAGGTCCCAGGAGTCCACCCTCGGCGCAGGCTCGGGGATTTGGGGCAGTTCACCAACCCCGGAACATTCACTACCAAAAGCGTCCCGATAGTGCAAGGAGCGTCCAGGCCCTGGGCCGGAACGAAGGCCACCAATGCCGGAGCCCCGACCGGAACACCATGATCACGACCATCGGGAAGAGCATCGTGATCATCGGCCGGAACCACATCCTGAGCCGCATCCGGAACCTCATCCGGATCATCACGAGCATCGACGTGATCCTCGCCCTGAACCGCGTCCCGATCATCGTCCGGAGCCGCAACCGGAACATCGCGATCACCGAGATGAGCATCACCATGAACGTCGCCGGGAACCACGCCCGGAGCCTCGACCTGAGCCTCGACCTGAGCCTCGCCCTGACCACCATGAGCATCACCAACATCGCGCGGAACCGCGGCCGGAGCCCCACCCTGCCCCTGCGCCGCCGGCCCCTCGCCCACCTCCGCCTCCGGCCCCGGTGCCGCGTCCTCCGCCTCCGCCTCCACCTGCCCCTCCAGCTCCAGCGCCTCAGCCCCAACCTGCTCCCGCTCCATTCCCGCCGCTTCCGCCCCTCAGTGGCGAGAGCGGTTATTAGAAGGATAAAGAGGTTGATTGTTTGAGATATCACACTTGGAGAGGGAGTGCGCGAGAGAGAAATAATAGAGAGCGCGAGAGAGACAGAGAAAATGAGAGAGAGATACCTTAAAGAAGGCATCGATAAAAACCGCGTTTCAGTGTGTTGACCCTCTGGCGCTGAGCTCTGCTTGGCCAAGCCCTGAAATCCCACCATAAATCGTACATTACAAGCGAAGTCATCGAGCACTAGTCGGCATGACATCAAAGGCAATATATAAGACAACGCCCACCAGAAATCGGATTACTTCTCGAAAATGTGGTCTGGGCGGTATGACTTGCTAATACTATGCGTGGCAGGGTTTTTTGCTTTGATTCAGGTATTTTCCATTTTTTTTGTAAAGTAGGTAATTGTAAACTCATAACACTTCTACTTAAAAATATTTTCGGTCTAAAATTTTTTTTAATTTTTCGGATCTTATTGGACGTGTTTGATGAATTTACAGAAATCAAAAACTAGAAAAAAGATGTGACAAATACAAAAATAGGCAGTATATTATAGTTAAAAAAAGGTTTTTTTTTTTTTTTTTTTATTTCATTTCGCTTTGAATTTTTTTTTTAAAAGGGAGTGGATAGGGAAATTTAAATTTTAAAAAATTTTTTTACGGGACTTTTTTTTTTTTTTTTTTTATTAAATAAAAAATATTTTTTTTTTTTTTTTTTTTTTTTTTCTTTTATGGGGGGGTAATAAAGGATATAGGAAATTTTGACTCTTTTTTTTTTTTTTTTTTTTTTTTTTTTTTTAAATTAGTTTTTTCATTTTTAAAAAAAAATTTTTTTTTTTTTTTTTTAAAAACGACAAAAGATTAGGGAAGGGGGTATTAAGGATTTTTTTTTTTTTTTATTTTTTAAAGATATGATATTAAAAAAGAAAAAAATAAAAATTAGTAAAAAATAAATTTTTTTTAAATAAATTTTATATAAATTTTTAGGAAAATTTTAAATTCATTTTTTATTTTTTTTTAATTTTTTTTTTGCCACTTTTCAAAAGGGTAGAAAAGTAGAATGGGTAGAACTGGGCCTTGTATAGTGTCAGCAGGTAGATGAAGAAAAATTTGATTCCTCCCCCCCGCTAACACCCCAGTACCTGAAAGTTTCCAAAATACCGTTTCAGGCCCACGCTCCCCAGCCGTCCGTATTTCACCCTCCGCCGGGCCAAGCGGCACTGCTAGCAAGAGCCCGAGGATTTGGGCAGCAAAAACCAATCATCATCACTTACCAACGACGGCCGGGGGGCGGCTTTCAGCCGGTATTGCCGCCGGAACCGCGACCGGTGCCTCGTCCGGCACCTCGTCCCGCTCCTCGTCCTGCACCGGCTCCGGCAGCTCCTCGTCCACCTCCAGTTCCTCGCCCGGCTCCTCGTCCTGCTCCTGCTCCCGCAGCTCCTCGCCCTCCTCCAGCTCCTCTCCCTGTGCCTCGACCGCCGCCTCCATCTCCACCTGCTCCTCCGGCTCCAGCTCCTCAACCTCAACCTGCTCACGCTCCAATCCCACCTTTCGGGCCACTGCCACCGTTTTATGGCGACGAAGGTTATTAGAATAAAGTGCCCTATTGTGTGCACCTCCGGATTTTAGCGGGCTAGCGAGAGAGAGAAAGAGAGATAGAGAGAGGGAGAGAGGGAGAGAGGGAGAGAGAGGACAGAGAGAGAGTGAGAGAGAGAGAGAGATAGAGAGAGTGAGAGGGAGAGTGAGTGAGAGAGGAAAACGCTGAAAAATATTGCTCGAGTACTGCCCGCCACAAGCATTTATTCGACACAAAAAACAGTTAGTGCGTTCGCGAAAAACGATACAAGAAAGAGCATGGCAATCGGGGCGGCGGGCTGCAGGAGCCGTTATGAGGAGAATCGGGGGTCTTCTGTGGTTGACAGAAGACGATACGCGGGTGAGCAGTTGGGCTCGCTGGGCGGCTGTTGGTGTTGAACTCGTGGAGCTCGTCGGGGGGATGGAACGCCTGGAAATTTGGGAATCATGCTCAAAACAAAGCTGCCTTTGATGTACCTAGGCGCGACGCGTCGAGCGGGTCGAACGGCTCGAGGCGCGGGACCGGCTCGACGAGCGGTTGGCCGACGAGCGCGAGGCGGAGCGCTTGGCGCGGCGCGACGAGCTCTTGGTTTTGGAGGCGCGCTTCTGGCGCTTCGACGAGGCGGCACGGCGCTTCGACGACGTCGATTTGGCTTGACGCTTTGAGCGGCGCTTCGTAGACTTGGAAGACTTGGACGACTTGGAAGACTTGGACGACTTGGAGGACTTGGAGGACTTCGAGGACTTCGTGGCAACCGACATCACGTTATTGTATTTCTGGAAAAAGGCAGTAAATGAAAAAGAGCCGGTTCAGGCCTACCGGATCATCAGCATACTTGACGCGCAACTCGGCTTCCAGGGCGTAAAGTCTAAAAACGTAGAATTGGTTCCGGTTTGGCTTGGGCCTAGGCTTGGCTTAGGCTTAGCTTAGGCTTGGCTTAGGCTTAGCTTCGGATTAGCTCAGGCTTAGCTTAGGCTTAGCGTAGGCTTAGCTTAGGCATCCTTGGCTTGTACGCAAGAACAAAAATGCGCATGAAAAATATCAGGAATTCCTACTCTCGCGCGGTGCGCCGGTAGTCGGCTTCCTGCCGCTTGTAACGCTTCGTCTCGTCGGTCATGTTGTAGACACTGCACAAATGTGGAGCGTAAATAGATGTACTGCGTAGTGCCCTACAATAGGCAGCAGCTGCACACGCAGCACGCGAAGAGGGTGACGATGCAGCCGGTGAGGATGGAGAGCAGACCTAGAACATCAGAGCGTGATAGAGAGCGAGAGAGCGACCGAGAGATAGCGAGAGAGTGAGAAAGAGAGAGAGAGAAAGAGTGGGAGAAAGAGCGCGCACCGATAGCCATGAAGAATATCGGGGCCGAGGCCTCCTCCTCGTGGTAGGGGTCCTGGTCGTCGCCGAACAGCGGCATGTGGTTGACGGGCTAAATTATGACCCAGTTACCGTACCGTGGTTTGCAATAGTACCAATTCCTCCGGGAGTCCCTGAATCGTCGTGGCATTAGCTGCAAGTCGCTTTTTGGCCAGCTCGAGACAGTCGGTGGTGTTGATGTCAAAGATGCGGGGCAGCGGGTGGTCGACGGCCGAGTAGATCTGAAAAATCGTTGTTTACTACTTGGGCTTTGCTTCGTCTTACTTTACTTAGTCCTGGCGCATAGGCTTGACTTGGCTTGGCTTCGGCTCAGGCTTAGGCGGCTTGGACTTAGGTTTAGGCCTAAGCTTAGGCTGTGTTGAGGCTTTGCTTGAACTTAGGCTTAGGTTTTGCTTAGGCTTAGGATGGGCTTAGGGTTCGGCTTCGTTTAGGCTTAGGCTTAGGCTTAGGCACACACCTGCTCCCAAATATGGTCCCAGGCGTCGAGGAAATTGTTGTGCTCCGCCGCCGAGCACGTCTTCAACAGGTTGTCGCGGATGCAGGCGATTTTCATGACAGCATCACTGAAAAAAAATTCGGGTAAGTAGGAGTACAGTATCCTAGCGTACATGCAGGTGTCGGTCGGCAGCATGCACTTATCATAGGCCCGCTGCGCGGCGCGACGATCCGAAACAGCGCATTTGGCGATGGCAGACACTGAAAAAGGATCGATTTTTTTCAAATATAAAAATAATGAAGAAGTTTCTAATCGGTTTTCTGCTATACTTAAACGTAAAAACGTTGCAAAGATCCCGCCTTACCATCAGCACTGGGCAGCCCAAAGCCGCACATCGCCTCCTCGAACGTCTCCAGGTAGCGCATCGAGCAGTTGCCGCACGTCAGCAGCTGCGCAGTGTCGTTCGGCTCGCGGCTGCAAGGAGTTCAATGACATCCGGAAAATCAGCCTACTTGCAAACAGCCAACGCGCCAGCCAGGCGCACATCGATGGCGCCGGCCGTGTGCAAGAAGTCCATCTCGAACGTGTCGTTCTTGGCCCAACGGCGCAGCGACTTGTGGATGAAGCAGTCGTAGGGCGGGATCTGAAGAAATGTGTTTAGTAAGTTTTGGTAAAAAAAAGTAAAAGTAAAAAATGTAAGTTTCTATTTTGGGCGAATTTTTTAACTTTTTAAGTGATTTTTCGTACTTTTTGATCCAAAATTCGAAAGTTTCCAGATATTTTAGTTTTGTTGCATTATTTATAGACCTAAAATCGGTGCGAATTCGTTAATAATGCCTTAGATTTTGTTAGCACGCCAAATTCCGGGCCTCCTTCTGCCAGTCCAGAAAGAACGACACGCTCATGCGCTACGTTTCTCTTCTACTCCCGATGGCTATGTTTTGAGCGGTTTCAAACCCCTCACCATGCCATGCACCGGGCACTTGAAGTCGCACTCCGACGGAGGGTAGGAGCGGGCTCGAGGTGAGCGCGAGAGGAAGATAACGTCGTGAAGCTCATCAAGGTGACCTTCGCACGCGTGCCACATCGCATCCGTTGGGCGGCCGATGTCGCTCTGAAGCGGAGCATGATGTACACAATTTGTCTATCTCCCTCCTCTCTCTCTCTCTTGCAGTTTTTCTCCCTCTCCCTTTCTCTCGCTCTCCCTCTCTAACTCTCTCCTGCTTTCTCTCACCCCCTTCAGAGCCAAGTTCACGTAGGCGGCTCCGCGGCCGGGCTTGCACTGCTCGAACACGAGCTTCTTGCACTGGATCGGCTTCAAATGGTCACTGAAAAGGAATTTTCATGGTGTCACCACCCCTTTAAAACCTGCAGCTAGCGTTCGTCTTCGGCACCGGGTACATCCACTCACAGTCGCGAGCCCGGACCAGCGGGTCCGGATTTTCGATGCAGTTGCGGATGTCGATGGCTGAAAAAAGCTGTGTGAGAGAGAGAGAGAGAAGAGAGAAAAAGAGAAAATGAGCAAGCGAAAGATAGCATGAGGGGTATAGACGTACTATCCATGGTCAACTTCCGGTTGTGGCAGTAGGCGTGGTCGACGCGCTCGATCATCGCCGCCGAGCACTTACACGCGTTTTCGATGCGCTCCTTGTACCTGAAAATGACAAGTTGTAGTTTGTAGCCTGCCGTCAAGGTTATCGAGTTTTAAAAACGCACCTGCACATCCAGTCAAAACGCGACGACGGATTATTCTGGAACAGCTCCCGGGCGTTCTGCGAAAAGTTGGGTCTGTTTACTCCCGAAAAACCAGTACCTCCTCCGAGATCTTGTCCTGCGAGGCGACGAGCGTCACCACGTAGTTCTCCACGCAGCGGTTGATCTGCAACAACCAAAATTAGGTTGTGCAATCCACCAAATCTAGTTGAACTCCTCGAACTTGACGTTACCTCCTGGGTGCGAGACTTCGACTTGAGCTGCTGCTCGCACTCGAGGACGTCGCCGAGCGGGCGGCCAACTAGAAAAGACGTTATCAGACTCTCATGAGTCCCTTGACGAAGCGCAAAAGCCAAGTCGACGACCCACGTGGCATAAATGGTCCATCGTACTCCGGCTTGCAGACGCCCTCCATCTCGAAGCCGTCCAACAACTCCGGGCCGCACGTGCACGGCTTCAGCGCGTCGGGGTACCTTTAGAAAAGTGGGTATCTTTGCATTAATAAAAGTGGAAGCCTCACTTGCACATCCACTTGCGCCGCTGCGACCGGGAGGTGTGCAGGATGCGCTGAGCGGCCTAGAAATTTGGAGTTATAGAGATAGAGAGAGAGATAGAGAGAGAGAGAGAGAGAGAGAGAGAGAGAGAGAGAGAGAGAGAGAAAGAGAGAGAGAGAGAGAAAGAGAGAGCGAGAGAGGGAGAAAAGAGGCGAGAAAAGAACGGGGGGGAAGAAAGCGAGAGAGAGAGAGAACAGAGGGATACCTTCTCCGATCTGACGATGCCATCTCGGATGAGATTCTGGCTGACACGTTTGATGAAGCACTCGTTGAGCTGAAAAGTCAAATAAATGACAATACAACTCATAAAAATACAAATGCAACTTTTAAACCTCTACAGTAAATTTAAGGGAATTTCCCCCCGTAGATACCTCATCACGACGATTAGCATCCGAAAAAATCGCGACGCAATCTTCTTCAACGGTTTGGGCAGCCACGAGGTACCCTGGAATTTGAATTGAAATTTGAATCCGAAATCTCGAAGTTTACCGCCGACCAAGCAGCAGACCAAAATGGTGAAGACCGAATAAATTTGCAGCATTGTGGGAGGGGAGTTCTGTTGGAAATGATGGGTTTTTGGAATGAAAGATTAACCCTCGGAAATTTTCAGGATGCTAATTTAAAAAGATTCAAAACATGCAAATCTCATTTCTAGACACCTTTAGCCATCGACTTGGTTCTTTCGTTTTTACGCTTTTCCAATTACGGATCAACGTTTCGTTTTTTCCTCTCGCACTTTCTCATTTTCAGAGATCCCGAGATTTTGATAGATTTGCCAAACAAGTGACCGCTAGATTTTTTCAGAGAAACGAGAAAAGAGATGCCGAGGTGTCGGGATTTGCACCTTTTCTCTCTCCCAAACAGTTGCCTCCTCGCTTGCGTTTCTATTGGTTTGAAGGATGATATCATTAGAGCTTCCGGCGGCTGGTCTGGACTTCCTTAAGCCATTTATTTTAGAATGCTCCTACCGTTCTCGTCCTCCGTTATCGTTTTTTGTTTTTTTTCGTTTTATCTTTTTTTCTCGCACTCTCCTTCTTTTCTTTTCATATCTGCCAAAATACCGATTTTTAGGTCATGAAATTCCGCAGCCGAAGCTACTCCCTAGTTTTGCTACTATTTTTTGTGGTATTCGAACGATCTGTTGTAGGTTTTCTTAAGCTCAATCTTTTTGCTATATTGGTTTTAGGCATCTTCTTCAAAGCCTTCGAAATTCTCGCTAGATTCGATTAACCCTCAAAATTTGCGATTACCTAGAGATCTACTACCAATTTGGTAATTCACAGCCTTAAGCTATCGATCAAAAAGATTCAGGTACAACGCGACCCTAAAAATTAATCTTCCTGGCTTTATCCCAATACCGAAAAATGAGGAATACACTTTTTCTTGTGAACTTATTATGAAGGTACCTAAAGTTTCTTTTGATTTCAAACCCCTTCAATTTAGATCAAGACATTCAAACCTACCAATAAAATCGTATTAAACTCAATCGGATTAAATTTGTCTACAAATCCCCGCGATTATTTGATACATACGGGAGGTAAGAAAAAGAAGAGAGATACCTCACAACCCCTACCAATTTTAGATACTTTCGTGCATGCCACTTCCATGAACCAGGATGATGCGTTGGAAAAGCTAACGCTCGGATTATCGACAGTTTTACCTCCCGGAAGCGAAATAATGTTAAAGGTATCCGATTTCTCTAGATATGAAAATACGATAATCTGTCAAACCATACTTTTTGAAAGGATTAAGTGGCTTAATTTTAGTTTTTTACACTGGAAAAATTCGAGACAGCCTTCGTGGGCTTTATAAAGCTCCATATCTTAGCGAAACGGCGGAAATACGGTAGGTGGTATAATACGGAAAACTCAGAATTTTTTTTACGTGACCAATTGTTTTAAATTTTTATTTTTGTGATCTAAGCGGCTTCAAGCTGTTTAAAAAAAACTTTAGCTAAGCCAAAATACCTTTCAGGACCATCGCCAGCACTCAATTTGAACCGATCTCCGCCCGACGGGTTTTTCCATGTTTTGATGAACCAGATTTTAAAGCTGCTTGGAAAGTTGCGGTAGTTTTACTCGAAAGTTTAATTTATGATGTTTTTCTAGATTATCCACCCGAATGGCTCGACCGCGTTAGCGAATGGGATCGGGGAAGGGGAGCCGATACCTATGTAATCTTGGATTGGCGAGTTTTAAACTTTTTTAGACCTGACCAGCCTGGTTGGCTAAAAAGCACTTTCCGCGAAACCATTCCACTATCTACCTACTTGGTGGCCTTTACGGTCAATGATTTTGTGTGCCTGGAGGGGAGAACGAAGACTAACATTCGGGTAGGTTGGAAAATTATCTCTTTCCTTGCCATTTTTTCTACTAATTTTTATTAAGTATTTGCTGTGTGGCTCACTAACTCAGCTCTTTTCCAAATTGTTTCCGAAAGACGCTTTCTTCTCTTGCCCTCTTTCTAAAAGTTTTTTAGCCGGCCTTCTTGAAGTTTTCAATTTTAACTCGCCACCTGGCGCTGCAAATAAAATCTGGCTTCGTCAAATCAGAATAAAATGAATTTTCTTACAACGTATTTCGAAAAAATTAATTTTTGTACGTAGTATCCGAAAACAGCCAAAATTCTGAAGCTCAGAAGCTTTCAGGTCAGACTCTGGTCTCGCAAGGCAATCGTCCAAAACCTTAAATATGCCCTCAGCGTCGGGATCAAAGTTCTGGATTACTTTGAGGAATACTACGGCATTAACTTCCCGATGCCAAAGCAAGGTGCGAAGGATATCTGGATTACGACATTTTTCGGAACTTAAGACATGATCGCGATCCCGAACTTCGAAGCCGGTGCTATGGAAAATATGGGCCTGGTGACTTACAAGGAGCAGAGTTTGAACTACGATCCGGAGGTACAATGGTTAGTGAGATTCAAAAAAAAGCAATCTTTAGCGAAATTCCCTACAAGAAAAAGAACTGGTGACAAGGATTGTAACGCACGAGTTGGCGCATCAGGTAAGCCAGCTGTCTTAAAGGGCACGTGCAGGGACGTTTTTTTTTTGGAAAAAAGCAAAGATTTTTGCCGCGGTCGGGGGTCGAACCCGTGCCCCCTGCTCGGGAGGCGCGGATGGATACCAGTCAGCCACGGCTACAGCCTGGCAAGGGGGCGAGGGGCGCCCCACGCCGCAAAGGAGGGGAATGGCCTGTCACAGCACGGGCAGGCAGTGCGCGCGGTCCCTACGTCCATAGGGTGTACACGTTGGGACGAGTACACGGCCCCTCCCTGAACGTGCGCTTTAAAGAATATCTGTTGGCATGCCCCAGGCTACCAGTAAAGACGCTTTGCTTCCAAGTTCTTTGAACCCTTATGAACTGCATTACTTTTTTTGAAATTCAGTGGTTCGGCAACCTAGTCACTCTGAAATGGTGGGACGACTTGTGGCTAAACGAGGGTTTCGGCACGCATATGGAATTTCTGGGTGCTGAGTATGCATCGGGCGGACATTTTCAAGAGGTGCACCTGCCTTTTGGTGCTGAAACTATTTTCCTCCACATCCTAGGCGTCCAATTTCGAAACGGAAGCGGTGGCAAAAGCGTTCGAGATGGATGCTACCGGAAATTCGCATCCCTTATCCTTCAAAATCACTCGCGGAAGCGATGCGTCGAATGCGTTTGATCATATTAGCTATTATAAGGTAAGAAACTTCAATTTTATTCCTTCTTAAAAAAGTTAGCGTGGGGTCCAAATTCCATCGGCTAGATCGACCGAACACAAATACATGTCCTTTACCTCCTGGGAATAAAATTCAAAACAAAATTAAAATGAATTAAATGGTTTCCAGGCGTTTTTTTGGATCGCCGCGTACTTCTAGATACTTGGATGTGTAGATTTTAACCCCTACCCCCTTTAAATTCGAAAAGTCAGCTCTTCAGGGAGCAGCATTTATCCGGATGCTGGAGAAAATCATTGGAACGGAAAGCCTGAAGAAAGGACTTCGGGTAAGCATTTCTATAAGTTTCAAAGGGATGGTGACAGTTGGATTGCTCTAGGCTATAAATTTCGCTGAAGTTCCAAAAGCCGTTTGATCTTTCCAGGCCTACCTCAAGAAATACGCCTACTCCAACGCGGCAGCCATCGACATGCTTCGCGCTTTGGGAGAGCACGTCCCGGAAGATGTGAGGAACTGAATAACATATGATTTTGGCGTCTTTAGCTACAAATTTTCAGCTTCGAAAGCTTGTCTTTTTAAATTTTAATTTTTTTTTTTTATTTTTTTTTTAAAAAAAAAAAAAAAAAAAAAAAAAAAAAAAAAAAAAAAAAAAAAAAAAAAAAAAAAAAAAAAGGAAAAAAAAAAAAAAAAAAAAAAAAAAGAAAAAAAAAAAAAAAAAAAAAAAAATTAGGCCCGTGCAAACGGCTTTTTAGATTCTAGGCCCAGACGGTTCTCGGTTCAATTTGACGAAATTCTCAATACCTTGGATACAGCAGGTAAAACGGCGATTTCCGAAAATAATGAAGACGCCTTTCAGATGGGATTTCCGCTACTTTCCGTTCGACGAATAGATGAGAATACAGTCGAGATCCGCCAAAAACGCTTCAAAGCCAACCCGAGCCAGAAGGACCAGGCGCAGTAAGTTTTGATCGATGCTGAAGAAATGCTTCCAATTTCAAAACGTTTCGATACCTATCCGTTTTAAGGATTAGAGCTTTTAGATACGCCGAGAATCCACTTGGCTACAAGTGGGACATACCAATTTGGTACCAGGTTGGCGGGCGACCTCAAAGAATAGTGTGGCTGCCATTTGATAAAGAGAGTAGGAGATGCCGTAACGTAAAACCATCTCGATTATTTTAGAGATTACGATTCATGTATCCGAACGAGAAGGCACTTTAATTATCAATCCCGAGGCAATTGGATACTACCGCGTAAACTACGATGCAGAACTTTGGGAGCAGATCGCTCAGCAGCTCGACAAAGATCCGAAGGTCGGGAAACGATTTCTCGCTTTAAAAAAGGGCTACAGTGAAACAGAGCAAAGTACGCAACGACATTTCCAGGCAATACCGCCACTCGGACGCTGTCGACTAATCGACGACGCTTTTCAGCTGGCTAGCGCTGGAGAATTACCTTACCAAGTAGGTGTATCGATTCATCGCTTTATCAATCGATTCCCGATTTAAAGAGGAATAATATTTATATTTTCAATCTTGTGACATCGAGACATACGGTACCTAGGTCAATTTTTAGAGAGCTACTCGGCTAACCAGCTATTTGGACCAGGAAACCGATTTGTGCCCCTGGAAAACAGCGCTCAAGCAATTTCTGGTCATCGCCCGTAATTTGGGGCCGGAAGCTGCCGATGAGGGGTCGGCTGTAAAGGTGGAATACTGTAGTTTTGTTTCTTACTTTGCTTTTAGGCGTACAGCGGAGGGAAGCTGAATCCATTACTCGAAAAAGTGGACCTAGATAGCTCGAATTTTAAGGGTGATGTGGATTTTGCGAAGAGGTGAGACAGAGAGACAGAGAGAGTGAGAGACAGAGAGAGAGACGCAGCGACGGGGAGAGAGCGAAAGAACGATATAGAGAGAAAGAAAAAGAGAGAAAAAGTTAATTTTAGCTCCTTACTTCGTGATATTACGAGTGTTTGCACCTATATGCAACTACCGGAATGTATGAAAAAGATGCAGGACATTTTTAAAGAGGTGAGAATTTGCACATTTTTTTTGCATACAACGTGTATGAAAACATAAAAAAGCAATTTAACGCGGTTTTTGAGTTTATGTAACAATGAGCCGCTGAAAATTCACGTTAAATAAAAAAAAAAAACGCTTTCATCAGGCGAAATCTTTCCAGAAATTCACCACCACCTGCTCGGCCAACGATTTGGCATCAAGGTGTAGTCGGTAAGATTTTCTTGTCGCAACAATAATCTTAAAAAGTGTTCCCATCGACGTGAGGGGTGATATCTACTGCGCGGCTATGATAGGCGGAGACGAGAAGTTGTTCCAGAGCTTTAGAGACTACTTCGTGGTATCGATTCTTTAGTAAATTCAAAAACCCAATTCTGGAAAGAGACAGGCGTGAACGAGAGGAATTACCTGATACTTGGAATGTCGTGCGCCAAGGACCCAAAATTAATCGACATCTTACTCACTGATGCCTTGGAGACCAGAAACGGGTTCCAGTTGGGTGATACAATGGTGGCATTTGCAATGGTATGGACAAAGAAATAGCAGCCTTGCGGCTTTTCTAGCAAATCCAGGCCACAATGCCGACATTTCAAATATTCTTACAAGGAGTGTCCTTTTGGTCCAAATTAATGTGGATATCAGGCGATGCAAAAGGACGATCGCAACGATTGCTTTCCCAAATTGGACGTTTTGGGACCTGGTTTTTGTCGGCATTGAATCTGTTGCCATCTATTTTGCCTAAATTTGCCTAACAAGGAGTGTCCTTTTGGTGTCATCGGCAAAACGATTCGAGACCCAGATCATTCGATAGAGAATTGAATTCTGAACAAGACTGTGTTGTTCATTTTTGCGGAATGGCTGTCCCTGATTTTATAAAATTAAAAAACTGCCGGCGACGCCCATACATTGGTGCCCGGGGAGCGAGTTGTTAAGGTTTCGCCCTTGGTTTTTTAATTCTATAAAATCAGGGACAGCCATTCCGCAAAAATAAACAGCACAGTCTTGTTCAGAATTCAATTCTCTATCGAATGAGCTGGGTCTCGAATCGTTTTGCCGATGACACCAAAAGGACACTCCTTGTTAGGCAAATTTAGGCAAAATAGATGGCAACAGATTCAATGCCGACAAAAAACCAGGTCCCAAAAACGTCCAATTTGGGGAAAGCAAATTTCGCCGCGATCGATCCTTTTTGCAAGTCGCCTTGATATCCACATTAATTTGGACATTTTGGCTGTCGGCAATTATGGTGAAGGAATTTCTGGTCATTCTGGTTTATTGTGTTTTTGCAAGTACAAAGTCTAGATTTCTCTGTTAACTTAGGTCGGCGTCCGTCCGTTCAACTCACAGCTATGCACCGACTTTGTGTTGAAGCATTGGCCAAGGATTTTTGAGCGGTATTTTTGTTTTAAGGCCAGCTGTAACGCGTCATTGACGTAATGTGTAGTCTAAAGGAAGAAGTTATAGTTTCGCGTTCAGAATTTGGTTAAAATTCCTCACTTACCAAAAATAACCTTAATTTTTTAGGTTTGGCGAATCGATACTGTCGCTCCAAACCCTGATCCAATATGGAGTTAGCGTCACGACTCAGGAGCAACTAAATATTGTAAGTAAAAAATCTAGTTTGAAAATGCAGAGTTTCAGCTCCAAAAATTCCTCGACGACAATCGTGAGACCACCCGGGATTCCCTTACGAAATGGAATAGCGAAGTAGAACATGGGAAGGTAAAAATACTTGTTGTCTTATTTTCACTTTTTTAAAGCAATAAAACAGACGCAAAAAAACATGTTTTCAGAAGCGGATAGCGTGGTTGTCGAAGAACAAGGAACCGCTGAATACGTATTTCAAAAAAGAGAACGAAAAGAGCAGGAAATAATGATAAATTGTCGTCGACGAAGTGGAAAAACGCAAGACTATGGTCATAGAACCATTAAAAAATTCGTGTTTCTCCCTCCCTCTCTTCCCTCTCTCTCTCTCTCTCTGATTGATCTATCGTTTTTTCTTCACTGACGTTGTTCTCCGCTTTCTACTTTTTACATCGCACTTACTCTCCCAGAAGACGGAGAGAGAGAGAAAGAAAGCGGAGAGAGAGCGCGCGCGAGAGATAGAGGAAAAGAGAGAGACAAGGTGATATGGAAGGACGACTAGAGAACGAGAGAGAAACAAAAAATACACTGTTCCCAGCACGAAGCACCGAAAACACAAATGTTTTGGGCGAAGCGGATCCGGTCTAGTGGCGTCCCTAGTGGAATGGTAATTGGGGGTTCGAGGCTTTCGGTCTAAAAACTCCTGGAAAATTTGAATGTCGCCGGCTCACACCCATCATTACTTCCCAAGAGACACGGCTACGCTTAAACGGACTAAACCGACCATTTGTACCAGGTCGCCCTTTAGAAACCGGAAGCGCGGCCAGACCTATTGTTTTTTCGATGCTGCTTGAGATATCGGAATACGAGTGGCAGATTCTTATTTGTGGAACCGTAGGTTTTGGCGCCCGATTTTTCGGTTTTAGTTCATTAGCGGGGGGGGCGTTTATCGGAAAAAATTTTTGTCAATTTCTTCTCTTATCTGCAATTACGTTATTTTGAGCTGTAGATAAAAATCGTTGTATGTTTTTTGGTAGGCTATCGAATAGCGTTAACAGCATGCCGAAAAACCCGAAAAAAAATCCCGAGAAATTGTTTACCAGTTCCATTTTCAGGGTTATTTTTGGCTTGGTTAAAAAATTCCTAAATTATAGTGTTTCGATCTAAAAAGTTATATAAAGATCTAGAATTATAGCAGACTAATTCTACATTAATGCGTTGGAATGTTTCCCAATTCTTTATTTTACAGATTGGCCTCCTTGGCACGGCAGCTGGCCTCCACTCTCTGTTCGTCATTAGGCGTTGCCCGTTTTTGATAGGTAACTTGAGACTCTCTTTAGATGATTTGTTGCGATCAACATTTGCAAAATGGTTATGCAATTTATAGGTATCGTCGAGCATTACTGCCTAATTCACGCTGCCACAGGGGTGATTGTCAATTTCGGACACTTTGGTTGGGCGGTACCAAGCGCAATTTGGTTGGTTGCGTTTCCCTTTTATCGAAATTCGCAACCTTTTAGGCACATTCAATACGACTTCTCCTTCGTCAACTATTTTATATCAACCGTTATTTTCGCGAGCGTTTTTGTTGCCTACGTAGCTCGGGTAAGGCCGGCAGGCGTCGAAATTTGGCTTCCAAAATGTTTTTGAAATTGTTATTGATTAGCGCTAGGCCTCACCCACTTTCCCCTGGCCGACAATTGCAAAAAAAACGCATCGTAATTAATAATATTAAAGTCGGGTTTAGCGCTTTCTCAAAGTTGAGATATTTTTGCCACAAATCTTTTGGTTTACACTGTTTTTGGCCCAAATTCAAACCCGGAACATTCTTTCTAACACTCTATCGAACGGAATTTTCAAAATACCAAAACAAAAGCCGAATATATTCAAGGCCAGTATTCCAAAACCTTTTTCGATATTTTTGAAAAATTGTTTTTGCTAAAGGTTTTTTGGGCTACACTTTAGTTTACCCCCCCAGCCGGAAGTTTGGCGATAACTTTTTTATTTTACATTTTTTAGGCTAAAAGCTAAAGCTCTTGGTATATTTTTCGACACTCTCTCTTTCGAATGGCGTTGCAAAAATCCCGGCAAAAGCAGCGAAAATACCGAAATTTTGAGACCCTTCGGTTGTGTGTGTGGGGGGGGGTAAGGTAAAGTCATGCCCATTTTTGATACTGCAATCTTTGAGCCGCGCTAAAACCCAGCGTGCGTTTTTTGATTTCCTATTAAATGACGTGAAAAAAACCCTCAAAAAAAGCAAAAACTGTCGAAAAATGCCAGACCTTCGGGCTTGTGTAAAATAAAGTGTTGCTCAAGTCTATCTGTTGTTAAGATATTTTTGGCGATAAACCGCTGGCTGTCCGTGGCGTTCTATGGCAAATACTACTACCATGTGGAAAAAGCAAAAGCGTGGTGCTATGTGACGCTAATTGGCAGCTCCGTTATTTTCAATATTCCGTTACTAATTCGTACGTTTTTTGAAGGATCAGAAAAGCAAGCTTTTTAGCCGATTGTCGCCCATCTGTCTACACCGACCCGTTCATCTTTTTCTATGCGGGCGAGGGAGAGTGTGGTCCGAAATACTCCGATATTTCACAGGTGGCAACGAAAGGAAAAATACAACCGCGATTCTAGATCAAATTCGGCTACCTCGAAATTGGGGTGACGACCATTTTAGAGGTGTCCTCCTTGCTTTTGCTGAATATTCAGCTGAAGGTCCGCGTCGAGTTCGTAATCCAAAATTTTGATCGTTTTAGAAGTTGGAACGGGGCCGGTCAGGCACAAATTCGCGCAGTCAATTAGGCTGGCAGCTGCGGTTTGCTACGCAGGTAAGCGATGGATTAAAGGTATAGTGGAAGCGGGCGATCGAGGCAAAAAAAGACACCGAGCTTGCGCTTCTGCGGATGAACTCGTGGCACTTTGCATATCATTACACGCTCAATACAGCGCCCGAGGCCTTACGCTATCAGATTTGCGCGCCTCTACGGCTGACTTTAGTGCGCTGAAACGCTCTTAGGCGCTGTTTGGTGCGAACGTCTGTAAAATCTGGCAACTCCCGGTAATACATGTGACAAGTGGACTTCCACTCGCGCAATAGTCAAGATTCGTGTGTGCGGGTATTGAACCTACTGGTCAAAAAAACGAAAGGGTACCCTCCGCAAAGCACCAGATAGATTGCTTACGTTGCCAGGAACCGCAAAATACTTCAGAAAAACCGAAATTTTTTCGGGGGAAAGGGATTTTTTGAGTGGGGGTGATTACATGTCGTAATGCCTTGTAAGTCTCCCAATCCCTCGATCTGGGTCGTTCCAGAAATAGCGTCAGAATTTGAGATTCACGGGTTTTCCCGTGGAAAACACACCAAAATCTCGGGTTTTAATAGAAGCAAGATTCGGAGGGTTCAACGATGAGAGTTCCACGATGTTTCCAGCTCGTCGTATTCAACGCGGGCGAGATCGCGAGTCTGGCACTGTACACATTTTTCAACCAAATTGCGGCCAGCGTCTTTGAGCTCTTCATCCTAGGCACAGCTTGTTGGCAGCTTCAATGGCTCGTTGTCAGGTAATCTACCCTTATGAAACGTTATCATTTTTTTGAAATTTTCAGTGAAATTTGACAACCCAAGCACTTAAACTCAATCTAATGAAACTCTATGCAATTTTCAGCTTTATCTACATCATTTTCCAAAGCCGCGGCGAAAAGTCAACAGCTACCCCGGTAACGCTAGTTGTGGCCACTCGAAACTCATCGCGGTTTGGATAAACCTTTCTCATAACTACCAGGGTTGAAAAGCCGCTTCGCGACTTTTCAACCCTGGCCCCGTATAAGCCCATGAAATTCTACCCTTTGCATAAATCGTCCGAATTTGTCATAAGAAATAATGAAAAACGCTCCCTCTCTCCCATTATATAGGCTATCGCCACTTCCGGTGCATGCTAATTTTTTCCTAACAAAAAGGGAGCCCGTTTTTTCAAACAAAAAACCAATTTTAATGTTGAAAATAAGATAATTTGCAAAATCTTATACGTGTGCAGTCATCTCGGGAGCATTACGCACCTAATGACGTATCATACGTATCTTAAAAACCTTCCACTGTCGAGATACTACTGGAACACGCTGACGGAAGTTGCATGCAAATGCACACACACACACAGAAACTATTTTTTTATATATAGTAGGATTTGCGAACTACAGAGGAACATAACAGGGATGTACTTTGCAAGTATTGCCTACCTAAAGGAATCTCCTACAGGTTGGACAATTTTTCTCAAATCAGAGAAATTCGAAATAACATAAAATACGCCTGTAACTTCTGCAAATTCATATATCCCGATATTTTAAGATTATCTTTTATTAATTTTACACATTTTATCTAGCTTACTGCCGGTCATCTTTCGTTTCCTTAACGAATACACTTACTTAAATTCCTGATTATTTTTTCTGACACAACGCATGACGAAATTTTTCCTTTCCTTCCCAATTATCGCCTTAGGCAGTCAAGCGAAAATCCCTAAGAACGATTCCCGTTTTTGTCTGCTTCTATTTCTATGCTGTATGCTATGCAATAAATCCCAAATCACAAAAATCCTCCACCTTACTTTTTGCTGTGCAGATCGCAACATCGAAATGTATTTTTGAATGGCTGCCACTTTGTTATAATTTTTAATAGGCTTACCGATATACCCTCGGGATTGCTTACGTGCTTTTTTCATTTTGGTCGGATTGGCTGGCCGCCTGATTTCAAAGTTTTTACAAAATATGTGTAAATCCTAAGGCCAGTTAGTCAATCAGTCACAAAAAATCACGTTATCCCTCGTGTTTGGCTATACCGACGATAATCCGCTTTATTCAGTCATCAAAATTCCTTCATTTCTAACAATTTTTGTTTCACAAGTTTCAGGCGTTTTACCAACGCCCGGTTTCATAAACTAAAAGCTTGGACTCTCCGGGAAGCGGTCTACTTGAGCTTGAAGTGGCGCAATTAGCATCAAGTCAGCATGGGGTGGGCCATACCTCCAGTCCTGAGAACAAGCGCATCATTTGGTTTTGGTCGTGTCGCGGGGCCGCAGACCAGGGCTTATATCGAAAAAATGTGCCAGCTTACGACACAATTTTTTTAAAGGAACCAGGAAGTCAAAGTTCAGTCCGGTCAAAATACGATTCGATTTTCATGGTTCGGATCCATCGGACTCGCTTAAAAAGTGGAATTTTTCCGTTAGATTAATGAAATCTTAAAGCCTTTCTCCGTCCCTCTCTCATGCTATCTCGCCCTCTCACGCGCTCTCTCTCTGGCTCTCTCTCTCTCTCTCTCTCTCTCGCTCTCCAGCTCTCTATCGCTCTCTCGCTCTCTATCTTTCGCTCTCGCTTTCTCACTCTCTCTCGCGCTTTTCCTGTCTCTCAGGCAAAAATCAAACAATCACCTCCAACCCGGAACATTTCGTAATTTAATAACCTTAGAACGTTTTCAGTAGCAGTAAACAGTAGCAAGTTTTTCTATGCAGGAATCACACCCGTTCTTCCCAGGTGTTCGCAAAATAGATCAGAACCTTGTTGAAACCTTCCCAACCGTTGTTTATTGGCCAGGCCAACTTTACGTTCCGCATCCAACAGCCCTGGGAGCGTTCGAAAGGCTTTTCCACGCGAAATTTTGACGCTGAAAATATTTTCAAGAACCTGGATTAGCAGAATTTTTCGAAAGATAATTTGAAATTGTGATTTTCGAAAATGCATCCTTATGGAAAATTTGCGAAAAAATGATCGCTCGCCGAACTCCAGCAACAACAAATACCTTAGGGTTCATTTCCGGGATCAGTGTCGAAGAATCCTGTTAAGTAAAGTATTCTTTCCGTGTCTGAACTCTCAGATCTCACGCTAGTCTTTTTTTGCATAAGAGCTAAAAAGCTTAAAATATCTCGAGATTTCGATCCTAACCAGTACATCTTGGCACACGAAAAGGTTTCCCACGCAAAAACTCGCATGGACTTTGCACCCACCTACATACCGTAAGCCGGAATTTGCGCGGGCTTCGGAATCCTGAATGTCCAAGATTCTTCAGACAATATCTCATAGATACTCTGAGATCTTACTAAAAGGAAAGTCTGGAAGCCTAAGCCTAAGCCTAAGTCTAAGCCTAAGCCTAAGCCTAAGCCTAAGCCTAAGCCTAAGCCTAAGCCTAAGCCTAAGCCTAAGCCTAAGCCTAAGCCTAAGCCTAAGCCTAAGCCTAAGCCTAAGCCTAAGCCTAAGCCTAAGCCCTAAGCCTAAGCCTAAGCCTAAGCCTAAGCCTAAGCCTAAGCCTAAGCTAGAATCCATTCCTGTCCTTAAGCCAGATACCTTACCCGCTCTAAAATAATCAAAGAGCTCTTCTTTTTGAAGGTCTAAAAGGGAAAGTTTATTTGAAGGATCTAATACGTGGGCATTAAGACACCCCCATCTCTGCGCATTTTGCCGAACCGATCGATTTTTCCCCAAATATTTCCGCAACGAAGTTATTTTTTGGGTAATGTTCGTCACCAACTAGCTTTTCTGTCTGGTAGCTTCGAAATTTCAGTTTTGAGTAGAATTACTCAAAACAGAAATGCTGATTACGATTACGCATCCATAAGGGCTGATTGCCGTTCTGAAATCCCACGCAGGCGCCTCGCATACTACGGCTTTTTGCCTAGTCTGGGCCTTCATCTTTCTGCATATTTTACCGGAAACTTTATTTAATGTGGTAAAAG